ACTTCCTTCTGTCAATCACCCTCAGTTCCTCTTGGTTACAGCTAATAGCTTTAAAGATTGCTGTGCACATGCTTGCTCTGGTGCGAGGGAGGGCTGGGTGGATTTACAGGCGCAAGGCAGACGTTAGCCGGTTTGTGGGTGAGGTTAGATAGGCTGACAGACAGGGCTGTTAACCTCAGCAGGCTGGAGATAGGAGCTGGCAGAAACCTTACGAAGGGAGGGCAGATGTGAGTCCTGCATCTGGAGCAGCATATCCCTGTGTGACGCTGTGAGCTAGAGAACAGCTGTGTAGGAAATGCCCTGGGAAGAGGTAGAAAGAACATCTTCAGTCCAAAGAAAAAAAGAATGGGATGGCAGGCATCTTAGTGCTGTCTCAGCTACCTTCATGGAGGTAGAAAGGGTGAACTCACATTCTTTGTACAGTGACAAGATAACAGGGAATGAACAGAAATTGCAGCAAGGGAAATTCTGACTATGTATTTTCACCAGAAGAAAAGGTACTATGAGGTTTCTCCAACAATGGAACAGGTTGCATCCTATGATTAGAGAACTTCAAGGCCGTGACAAAGTTGGCCCTGCTTTGAATTGAGGAGGTTAGGGTGGACCAGAACTCCCTTCCAACCTAAATTATTCACTGTCTTCATGACTGCTATGTTTTGGATGATTTTATCTGAAGAACCTCATAGCTTGTGAATTCCTTGTGTACAGCCAGCAACCTCTGCATTCGAGGCTGCCATCTTTTAAGAGAGCTTGATCTTTCTCATGAAAACCTGACAAGTTCCAGCTTGCACTGCTGTAACTAAATAAAACTGCCTTCTTACGGGGTTCACACCACTCTTAGCACTTTGGATTAATTATATGGCTATTATCCTAATGGAAGCAGCCAGAGTAGGTAATTGAAGACATCTTGAAATAAATTAGATAAATGGTAGCAGAAGCATCTTTATGCTTTAAAGCTCAGAGGAGAACTGTTTTTAAAAACCATCTGTAAAACTCCCTCAAATACAATGAACTTTACTGTAGTTTTTTTATTGACCAAACTATATTTTATAAAGGTTAGAAGAAAAAAATCCTGAGTCCTGTTGCAGCAAAAAAGCCATTCTTTATTTCCTGGAGGAAGTCTACTGTATTTTTACTTGACTTTTGTTGAATTTAAAGAATCCATGCTAAATTATTTCAAACGGAGCATTTAAATGCCTAAAGTATTTTTAGGTCAAATCGTTCACTGAGAAGAAATCAGTAAAAATCCGTGTTGTGGAACTTCAGTTTAGTGTTTAGTTAGTTGGTGCCTCCACACATTTTTCTAGTACCAAAGTTCTTTTCAAAATGGAAATGCTTCTTAATTAAATTAATTCTTATTATAACATTTCTTTTTCCCCTGGTTGGTAAAAAAAAATCAATAAATTATTTTTTGTTATTTCATCAAGCACAGTTTCTGCAGATCCTCATTTAATGAAAGCTGGAAATATGCAGAAAGCCATATATCAGGAGTACTTTAAAATCATTAAATCATAACTGGATTGTAGGAGATGTAGGAGTTGCTGCCAATTTCAGTACAATGCTTTTCTTAACCACCGGTACTGTAGTTTAATTTTCAGTTTCTCCAGATACTGTATTCTTTTAGATATTCTTAAATCCAAGATAGAGTCAAGTATTAATTAGATTCTTAGCTCTGTCCCTATTTGTTTTAACCACAACCAAATAGGATATTTCACAGCTGGTAATTCAGATAGGTTGTGTGTAACTCTGAATATCAAGGTCAGTTCATGCCCTTCTTCCCTGTAGTGTTCTCTCTCTTTCTTTTTCATGGACATCAGAAATAATCAGTAATGGCCTGAGATTTAGTACAGTGATGGCTTGTAGTACAGCTTCACAGATGCACTGGGTTTTATTTTGCAGTTGCTGGCTTTAATAATTAAGAGGAATATTATGATGAGGTTTAAAGACTTTAAAACCTTCATTTGTCTCAAATCCAGAAACATAACCAGCTTCTTTAATATATTTTTGCTGATAGAATTTATAGTTCTTTGTTACAACACTTTGGCCCTTGAGACTAATTAATCAAGTCTGAAATGCATGTTCTTAATTTTGGTGAGCCAGAGTGATGTGAAATACATAATTAGCCACTTTGTTGAAGTGTGCATAATATGGTTCAGTGACTAATTTTCTGGTCAGTGAATCACAACCTTATGTCTCCTTTTTGTATTTAAACACTTCAGATTATGATAGTTCTTGTATTTAAAACATTCTAGGCCTAAAGATCTAATTCATGCTTAGCATTTTAATAACTGCCTCTGCTTTATGGTGTTCTAAGAGAGAAATACGTATTTGTCTCTCTTTAAACTATAAATTTATAATTTATGGCTTCTTTTAGTTACAAGTTAAACACAATTATATGTAGCAAGGTATTATTATGTTCATGGAATGTAACAAGGCAAAAGATTTGGTTCCATTTGTAAAAACTATAATTGTTGACAATGCAATATTGCATTTTACAAATTTACAATTCTATATCTATAACTGACATCAATTTTAGATTGAATGCTTCTAAATATTTATTTTCAGACACTTTGGAAATGTCTCACTTCAATGCAGTAAATTCTAGGAAAATAAAACGTTCCTTGCCTATTTCCATTTGGAAAAGCATTTGCTTTAAACTTTGTCATTGCTTTGAGGCTTTTATTCATCTATCGTCTAACAGCTTCAGGTATCATTGAGGAACTTCATTTTGACATATGATTCAAGCCTTGAAAATCACATCACTATAAACTGTGAGTGGCTTTGGCATGAGAAGAAATCATTCAATTAATAAGCTTCAGCATTTTTACTTTCTACCTAAACTTACTTGTCCCTATGAAAATAGTATTGCATTACAGTCTAATGTGTCAAAACCTCTCCTAAATTATCAGAAGTTATCAGACTTCAGATGCTTTACATACGATCTGTTCTGGGTTTTCAGTGTACAAAAATGACCATGTGAAGTATTTCAAGTATCTTTATTTTCTAAGGGAGGTGAATTATCAGGCAGAGGGCAGGAGGGAATACAGTATTTGCATCACTTTGTGTGGTTTCATAATTTACCACATTGATGAACTCCCTCATGTATTTACAAACGTGGTGCTCTCCTGTGTATAAATAATACACCCATGCATAATGTTACTTAAGGTGTTTATTTAAAATAGAAGTGGGTTTTTTTCTATATTCTCTTTCAACTTGTTTTTACATAGAGGAGACAAATACATCACAAATATGAGTTGGATCCTTTTTTACTTTATGTAGTAATATCAAAAGTTCATTGTTCCTCCCCATTGAGACTGAAAACATGGTTGGTTTAGTCTTTGTAATACTTGGCTGTAAAATTGAAATTCATAGGAAACAGGATCCAACTATGAGTCAGTGTGCAGAACAGATGAAGTATGGGGACCATGAAGAAACATTCTTTTTAATTGAGCCCAAGGTTTTTATCATTAATGAGAACCAAGGTCGTATTTTGTAATTGTAGGATATGAGTGCCAGACCGTGATCTGTTTTGATCAGGATTAAAATGCTGATGTTATTTTCTTGATTTTGTTCCAGTTTCTGCTGTATTTTCTATAAATGTTTTTAAACCAAAACACTTTATTGCAAATTATTTTCAGAGCACCTTGTGTCATTATTTCAAATGGAGTCACTCGTTCTCACCTTTCTTATCCTTTTGGAAGTAATTACTGAGTTTGATGTTTTGACGATATTGAAATAATCTCCAAATTGTATTCCTTTCTGTAGTGCCTGACTTCATAGAGTCTGAAAAATTGTTTGGCATAGGAAATGGACTCAGGGTCATCCACTCATCGGAAGTTACCTTACACATGGATGCCAAATCCCAAATGACTTTAACAGTGATAGGCAGTATTAATGAAAATCATTTCCTTACATGAGATATTACGCACATTTCTGCCTCTCATTCCAAAAATTAATTAAATTCATCATTTGAGCTAAATGTTGTGGAAACAAATAATTTACCATATGCAGTATCTCAGTGTCACTTGCTCATGCTTTTCAGCTCTACATAATACTGTTTTCACCTGTAGTTACATAATTGTCTTTCTAGCCTGCTAAAAAAATATTCCTTCAGGTGACATCTTTAAATTGTGCTTTTGTTCAGTAGTTTACAGTGTTGGTGTGTATAATGGGTGTTTATCATTAATACTATATATAGCAAAATATCTAATCATGGTTATGTGGTGAAGAAAAATGCTACAGTCCAAGCCAATTCTCAGTTTCAGTTGCTGAAAGCAAGATTGGAAAGCAGTCTTGTAAGTCTCAATGAAGAAAGAAGCACTTCCCTTGTCTTTTGTTAAGCCAGAGAAACGTACTTCCAGTGTTCAGCAATAGCTAACAGTGGAGAAAAATGCTCCTTAGCAACAGAAGTCCATGAAATAAAAGAAAGACTTAAATGCAGCTTAAAATTAGAGAAATAGTGTCTTGTCAGATTTAAAAATGTGGAAATAAATTCTCTGTTAGAGACAGGAAGAAGACAAATACAAAAGCTCAGAAATATCTTCTAGTCAAGATGGAGAAAGAAGCCACTCTGGTGCGTGTTCCTTTCACTACAAGCTGCCAGAAGTTTGTCTGTGCTGTTACTGTGCACCTGGTCTTCTGTAGCTTCTGGAAAGTGTGCTGCTTTTAAGGGAATGGAAGTGATGATATTTTTAAAATTGCCCTGCTCTAGGTCTGTGTCTGTGAAGTTCAAAGTCAGCGAATCTTTTTTGCTGAAATTTGAAATGTAGGCTTTAGTGGTCACTTTTTTCCCCCCTCCTGTAAATACTGTCGTGGTCTGATCACTCCTAGTCTTGCACATAGTGCTCTTCTGGCAAACGTCATCTGCAGAACACGTTTAGAACAGTCACAGCCATGCATCTTTGGAGAAGAAGGCTGCCCTCTATACAATACACAGCTAAAAAATCGAGAACTTTGGTAAAACAATAGGAGTAATATTTCTTCGCTACTGTTTTGTATAGGTTTGTAATTGGACGAGAAAAACCGGGACAAGTGAGTGAGGTTGCGCAGCTGATTAGCCAAACTCTAGAACAAGAACGCCGCCAGAGAGAGCTGCTGGAGCAGCATTATGCACAATATGATGCAGATGATGATGAGGTAACACACTGTCTAGCGTTTCACTATTTGGTGTTTTTTAATGTTGTTTTCTATTCCTAATTCCTTCTTTTTAATGGTCACTCAGAGGTCAACTTCTGGCCCTCTCCATTACCTCTGCTGCTGATTTTTACAGATTTTGATGATGAATCTTATTTGAAGAACAAAGTTACTGAAAAGCTTTTCAGCCTGAAATTAAAATATTTGTTTTATTCCAGAAGAGCAAGTATCAAATTGGTCGATGCTTCTGTAAACATTGCTCTTCTTCTAAAGGCATATACTTTTCTGAAATAAAGGAATAAAATTGGTTTGCTTGTGCAAGGAAACATTCTTGGTTTGCTTGTGCACTGAAACATTATCGTTTTGTGAAAACTGGTAAAAGTGGCCTTCTAACTTTCAGAGAGTTAAGGAAGTTTTAGACCTTTTTTTTTTTTTCCTGAAAGAACTGATGTTTTTCTTAGTTCAGAACATTAAGAAATTTTCTGAAAATCCTAGGAAAGAGGTTTTTGGTTTTTGTTTCTATGTGAACAGATAATCCACACGATAGAGAATTAATCTACCTTGTCTGAAGCATATACCGATGTTCGCAATTAGTGCCTGGTGTCCCAATACAAAGGTTTTGAAACTATCAAGTTTAAGCAGTAAATTTTCCATAATGTCTTTCTGTTCTCCCTCTCTCTCATAAAATTCCTAATATGCCTAAATACCAAGATACTTGGAAAGACTAATGAGAGAGCTTTTTCAGAGACTACTGTCTGTGTTACTCCCTAAATTAGCTGCTGGGTTAAGGCAAAAGGCAGTTGTAACAAATGGCTTCCACATAGCCCAAGCATACCACCTTCATTTTGCATTATCTTGAATAATATTATTTGAAATGCCAGACTTCATTTATTAGAGTGTTTTTGTCCTGGGCCAGATTTTTTATTTTAATTGTGGAAGGAGGCAATAGAGAGGGGGAGATAGAGAATTCATGCTATGCATTTATTTCAGTTCAGTTTTTCTTTTAAGTACTGAGACACGGCTTCTAAACAGTGAATTAGACAAAAAAAAAATACTGTGAGATAAAATCAGGATACACTTGTATTTTGAAACACACTGTTAAACTAGGAATAAGTCAGAACAATCAGAAGTGTCCTAGAAGACTAAGTAGAAATTCTATCTAGTCCTAGTAATGCTTTCACTGACTTTAATTTCCACTGATATTTAAAATAAAAATATGTCAGTGTATTTTAAAATGAATCCTGTCAAAGGTGCATATTTAACTCATACAAATAAAATTTGTACTCGTCTGTATACATACAGGCGTATGTATGTGTGCCTGTGCAAGACCTTGAAGGCTAGAAAATCCATATCCTGTCTGTTCCCTCCTCAAACTATACTATAGAAGCATGCAAGTCTTCTGACTTCTGTTTAGTCTAGAATTAAAATTCAAGATCTTAAGTAATTTCTTGAAGGAACTCTATCATTTTCTCAATAGCAAAAAAGAGACAACTCCCTCTAGCATTTGGAACAAGAGGCTTCTCACAATTTATCACAGCATGCTGTAGTCCACAGGGTTTGAAGTCCTTGACATTGTTTTATAGTAAATATAGCCTGATAGCTTTCATATTCAGGAGAGGTGCGTCCTAAATACCTGATGTTCAAATCCGTCTTGCTGTGTACTCACATGTAGAGGGGTTGTGTGGCTAAAGGCAGACCTATGTAAGTAATTAATGCATTACACCTTTTATCTAGAGGATGCATCTACCTGCAAAAAAATTGCAAAGATTTGTGTTGCTTCCCTTCGTGCACCACACAGATGTCATAACTCAAGGTCTGGCAATAAAGAAAAAGTTGTTAAAACCATACAGATCAATACTGATCTTGGTAGTACCTCAGCCTTCAGTAGGGATTGTTGCTGTGCTGACGCCAACAGTGACACTTTAGTACTGATGACCATGCAGTGTTTTCTCAGCACAGTAGTGAAACAGGACAGGGATGAGTATCGGATAGTTTTTGTCATGTGTCATCTTGTCTTTGCAGTTAAGTGGTTACAAACTCTTAAGCCCTGTTCACTGCAGAAATTTTTAACAGAAAAAATACTAGATGCATAAAGTGTTTTCTATTGGTAATGCCTTTGGATGATAGAAAATTAAATAGGGCAAGTAATCAACTGAGTTAAAAGCATCTTTTCTTATTATAGCACTACATTGAGAAATATGACCACCGCAGTGACCATGATGTGCTTTTTGGCCATTAGTGTTTGCAGTGCAAAGGGGACTTTTATGCAGTATGCGGAAAAGACATCTACCAGAGGAGATCCAGAGTATCATCAAAGATCTCTTTTGGAAGGAGAAGGAATTAGGCTTTGGAACAAATGCAGTACTTCAGTTCTCAGAAACCACATTGGGATCATTGAAAATGATACCCATTTCCTGCTCGATGCCATATATATATATTTGGAAGGGATGTGGTAAACCTTATTATCAAAATAGATGGCTGGGGTGTAGTTACTAATGTGTGCAATGAGATGTTCCTTTTCTTAATTAGCATACTTACCGGAAGTAGATTTTATTTGGAACCTGAAGCAGTCCTGGATTTATTTTTTTTTTTTGTCACCTGATTATGCCGTCCGAGTCAACTCACATAACTTGCACCATTCCTAGGTAATTGACACAATAGAAGCTGTGAGCTAATGCGCATTAGACACAGTTCAAAGACATTTTTGGTCACCACAAGCACTTGTGCTCCATTTACTGTCAAACACAAGCATTACTACTTCGAGGGCACCTTGCTCTGTGAGGGCAAATGTGGTTGAGTTTATGTTGCTATATGCCAGACACTGCTGCCAGCCCTGCATTCTTTGGCTCTGTTAAGCAGGGCGTCTTTGGGGCAAGAAAATCTCAATTTACACTAACTCAGTATCCACAGATGTACAAAAAACTCCTACCCTTTCAAGTCCATTTCCTCAATGTGATAGCGATTCTGACTGCAGAGGTTCAGGAATATTTAGATTGCCCGCGTAAGGAGTTTTGTGCTGAGGTGGCACAGAATTGTACAGGAGTTGCTCAGTCTCAGAGCTATCGAACTGTCCTATTTGTTTTCATATAGTTCTTAAAATATGGTAACATGGATCGCCACCTACAATGCTGCTTAAATAAACAAGAAAGTGATCTTTATTCCACCCTCCATTGAGGCTGTCAAATTCTGAGCCTCAGAGACTTTACTACAAAGACAGCAATAACGTATCATGTTTCCGGAGCAGGAAATCAGTGATCTGTGTTTGAGTCCAGGAGTCATTGCACATGACTGTGTTCGGTAGAGCTGGGCAAATCACGGGAAGAAAGTGTGTGCCAGGCGTGGTGTTTTATCTTGCTGTGCCACCAGCTGGCTGGATTTCCTCTGTTTTGAAACATAGGACAGTCTTCATCATGGCCCAAGCAGCATCTAGCTGTTTTAGAACGATCGGAGTTCTTTAAAATAGCAGCATTATTGAAACAATTTTGACTTCTGCCAGCCAAAGAAGTGTGTGCACTGGACTTGAGTCAGATGCTAAATTAGAGAGATGCTTGTTAGCCTGCTGTAACTTCTTGTTCCATTGCCTTGCAAGAATTTTACATGACAGTTATTTGTTGGGGAAAATTCATACTCATACACGTAGTGTTTCTGAAAATACATCATTTGCTGTATAAGTAAGCCTGAAAGAAACATCATTTACTATATAAATGCCCTGCTTCCCTGCACTTCAGAATCTGCTGTTATTATGGTCTGCAGGTCACAGAGTTGCAAGATGCTTTCAGGTGCCCCTTCATTTAAACCTTTGCATGGAAACACAAGAACCTTGTGCAGAACTGACGAACACTAAAAGGGCCGCCCACAATGGGGTCCATGCAAAGACGAACAGGATTAATGTACAACAACGTACGTAATTTGTTGTTAAGCTCCCACGAGCCAAGCAGAGCCAGCAGTATCAGTTATTTCTCAAGCACTGCTTACGATAGGCAGTGTTGGCATTTCCTGATGAGCCTGTGCTAACTAGGATAAAGCTGGGACAGTATGTTGTTCCAGGTGCTGCCCCTAGATAGCCTGCTGCAGAGTTTACTCATCACCAGTTCATCTAGCTTCCTAAAATCCCACATCCTTTTAATTTGTTGTATCCTGTCAGAAAACAAAACTCAAAGGCTTTGAAGTAGGCACTGTCTTTGTATTTCCTACTTAGTATGTTAAATACAAGCTGAATCTGTATCCTTGACTGAAACCTTCTCACTTCCCTGTGTTAACATAGTGTTCCGTGCACATTTTATTCAAATTCTGCCATTTCTTGGAATTTTGATTTGAACATGATATTGTTTTCTTGGTGTTCTACAGTGAATGGCAAAAGTCACATAAAGCAGATGCCCTGTTCCCCTGAAGGCTGCACATGGTGATGCAGAATGCGAAATTAATAACATACTGCAGAATTCTATTCACTTTGTGGCCATGGACAAGTAGTTTTATGCAAGTGATGTTTTAATGTATTATAATATCACTAATAGTCATTTGAGTATTTTTTAATTTTTAATTCTCATCTACCAGGATATTTATCTGAGAGCGAAGCAACATTAGAACCATTGAAGAACATCTTGGCACACACAAAAAGAAAAATTTTGCAGTGTGCTTGAATATCTTGCACTCAAACACTACATTTGCTAAACAAGATCTTTCAGAGAGTACGGTTTTTCCTACGTCATTAATATGAAACACTCCTGTAAAAGCGGTGTTTGATACTATACCGTTATGTTTTTCTTTGCTCTTTTGAAATAATTAAGTATAAAACATCAAAAAAAATCAAATGAAGACATGGGCTTGAGTTATTTTTATAGTTCTTCAAATGGTGTTCCCTGATTGTGGGAGAGTGTCAGCATAAACAAAAGATTTCGCTTGATACAACCTTTGTTATGGTGATTTGGGGAAGGTCTGTCTGTATTATCCTGGCTAGTGCTGTTGCTCCTTCTTTCTGCTTGGGAGTTTTAGGCCCATTTCGAGAATTTACAAGGCAGTTAAACAATGTGAGTAGTAACACAGTGTCACTTTTAAAGTGGGAAATTGCACTTCATGTTGATAAAGATAATTTCATGCTATTAGCTGTGATAGCATATAGCAAAATTGAATGGTTAATATCGGAAGTTATTGCTGTAGATGGGATAAGCTTAACCTGTAGGTGCTACTGAAATGAGAAATAGGTGTTTTGCATGAATGAATTTTGCTCACCAATACAGACTGAAGAGTCTGAGATTTTCCTTCAAGAGCATGTAAGTTTTCATTGACTATTGAGTAAACAAATACTATTGTTGTTGTCAGCTAAGAAAACAAAATGTATTGCAAGGAACCTCAGACAGCTGCACTAACAACTGTTACCTTAGAAGGCTTTGTTATTTTGAATAAAAATGACTTTTGTCTGTGCCTAGCTACTTCTTGTAAAACCCTGAATGCCCCGTTCTAGCTTACTGGCGCAGGGTCTTAACACCCTATTAGTTTCGAGTGAAACAGACATCAGCAGAGATTTATTTTTTTTTTCAAGCAAAGTATGTTCCATGCCATTTATGACATGTATTTCCTTAAAGCACACATCAGTTCTTTTGTACTTGTAGTTTGTATTTCACGTGAGTATGAGATCGCATCCCTTTCTTTTGAAGACAAAAGCAAGTCTCATTTATTTCTGTGTTCTGTAATGTGTTTGTGTCATCCTGCTGTCTTGTTTACCTGAGCAGACTGCAGTTCTTTGCTTTGATGACTACTTTTTGCATTAGTTGAAGCAAGAACGGCTGTGCCCATTGACACTCATTATGTACAATTTCAAGCAGGATTTTCCTCTGTGTTCATTTTAAGCTGCCTGATATCCCTCTTCAAACACTCTGGCTCTTGAGGCCAGTAGAATATTGCCTGCTCTTGAATTTTTCCCCAATATAACTTAATCCTTCATTTGTGTTCATTTTCCTTTTTGTATGAAGTACTTCTTTTAAGTCTTTGGAGGAATCAGTTTTAACTAAACTCAGCTGCTTTTATTCTTCTACCAGAATTGGTAAATATAATTAGAATTTTGCATTAAATTAATATATTCCTTTAAAATGCACATGTAGCTGAGCCGGATCTGTTTTTTTTTAAATAAAATGGTCATGGATTTCCTAGTTAATGGTCCTATTTCTGCCTCCTCTTTGCATGCTTCAGAAATTTCCTTGCCATTGCTGATGGACCTGCCAAGGTGTTTTTTTTTTTGTAGAAGTGATAGTTGTGTATCACCTTATAGATTTTTCAGGGATAATGACTGCAAAATTGACAGTGTATGGATTGTGTTAGTATTTTGTCCCCACAATGATTCATTTCATTCAGATCTTGCTGGGTTTTTAGAATTAGTTGTTCCTCTTCTCCCTGCCCTGATGGTGAGTGAAGGTGGTGTTACATGTTCTTGAAAAAATCCAGGAGAGTTAGTAGCCTAATTTTCTGGTTAGACAGTATCTGCACATAGTCATGGGAAATAAAATAGAAACAGAAGTTACTACAAGTGTAAAGTAACAGAAGGTTTTCTGTGTGCATATGAGATCTAGACATACAGAATGATGAATTTAATTTCAGATGTTTTGACTTTCTTTGTTCTTTAAAACTTCAGTGGTTTTAAAAAAGAAAAATATAGATTTTTCCATGATCTTTAAAGGTCCCTTGCAACCCAAACCATTCTATGATGCTATGTGCTATTTATCCAAGAAATCGTAATGTTTGATTGCAAATGTATCACTTTATTGTTGGACACATATATCTTTTCTGTCTGTGTGCACTTGTGCACCTTGACTTAATGTGCTTCCATGCACTGCTTTTTGATTGAGAGAGATTTACATAAGCCTGAATAACATCTGGGAAACTAAACTAAGGTAGAAAGTTGAGATTTGAACTAATGTTCAGACATCTGAGTTCTTAATCTGTTACTCTGAAAAGTTCTTTTGACAAAACCCGACACTAATAGATAATCCTGGCAGTACTGGGAATATACTTCTGGTAATAGTATTATGTGCCTTCATCTCAAGAACTGAAAGCCCATGAACAAAAACTTGAGTAGTTACGTCAGACTTTTGGTGTTATTACTGTAAAATATGAGAAGGGCTGCACATCTTCCCCCGCCCTTCCTTTTCCATGTATTTATTGATTCCCAGGCTTTATAAATCCAGATGTGGCCCTGAGGAAAGTGTTTGCTTTGTAATATGTTTGTGTAGTCATTTGCATAGCCTGCAGGCTATTCATGATCTGTATGTGAAGTACTCCCTCTTCCAGAGCGTGCGGTGGGAAAGAGAAGTGGTACCCAGCCACCTCAGGCATGGGGAGAGATGAGCATAAGTGTATGTGGAAAAGATACAGGCTGAAAGAGTTGGGGCTGTTCAGCCTGGAGAAGAGGAGGCTCCGGGGTGACCTTATAGCGGTCTTCCAGTACCTCAAGGGGGCCTATAAGAAAGATGGGGAAAGGCTGTTCAGGAGGGCCTGTTGTGATAGGACAAGGGGTAATGGTTTTAAAATAGAGGGAGGTAGATTCAGATTGGATATTAGGAAAAAATTTTTTACCATGAGAGTTGTAGAACACTGGAACAGGTTGCCCAGAGAGGTGGTGGCTGCTCCATCCCTGGAGACGTTCAAGGCCAGGTTGGACGAGGCCCTGAGCAACCTGATCTAGTTGGAGATATCCCTGTTCCTTGTAGGGGGGTTGGACTAGATGACCTTTGAAGGTCCCTTCCAGGCCTAACCATTCTATGATTCTATGATTCTATAAGATTGTCTAGGCAACTTGGTGTTTAATATTGCAAGTTTTTTGTTTTCAATAGTATCGATTTGTTTTGTTTAATCTTGAGATACAGATTGTAGCTTACGATTTGTTAAAATTCTGTTTTATCAGCAAATTGTTCCCATCCAATGGTTTACCAGCCCAAGAAACACCTGCATTTTCTGTTTAAAACTAGCTAGAAGCAGCTCCTTATTCAGGGTGAAAATTCAGTAAACTCTGACTTCAGTCTCTGAGCTTGTCTCTGACACTGAGTTTCTTTTTCCTGCTGTTTTCTTTCTGTGTGGGTGTGACTTTTCTCCTGTTAATTTGTTTATGAAGAAGCAGCCAATGGATTTTCAAATTCAGCATGGAATATTACTGGAGAATTACCATCCCCAGATGGCTTACAAAAGACTAATTGAAGATCCTGTCAGTCCTATTCTGCTTTTATTTCCGTTTGGAGAAGATTCCTTGTTAAATCAGAGATAAATTTGGAGAGATCTTCCTGTGGAAAAGAGGCCTGATTTGGAAAAGAATGAAAACCATTGAACTATACAGCCAGTAGTGCTTAAGCACTTAAATCCTTAGTGCCTAAGACACTGTTTCCTCCTCTCTCTTAATGTTCTGAAATACCAGTGTGGAGTTGTATTTTGTCTGGTAGAATTCATAAGTACTGGGTTTATAGCTAAAGAAAAAGCTAACCTTTTTTGTATGCAGTATACTGTATTTGCACAGTAGCTTAATTACTCTTTGAACAGTTTCTGCTTAATAAGAGGATAACTGGAATTTCTTGAATCCTATAAAATTAAGACAGGGGAATATGCTACAGATGAAGAAGATGAAGACATGGGACCTGTCATTCCAGGAGGTGACATGGCTATTGAGGTGTTTGATCTCCCTGAAAATGATGACATGTTCTCCCCCAGTGATGTGGACACCAGCAAGCTTGCTCACAAATTCAAAGAGGTAAGTTATAGATCAGAAAATATTCCTGAAATATCTCATTGGAATTAAATTTCTGGTAATCTCATTTCTCAGTGCATGTTTTTTTCTCTTGAATACTAGAGGTGATTTCTAGCTGTTCGTATGCACAGTACTTTTGAATGACTCAAAAAGTTCTGCTTAAAAGAAGTGGAACTGTTCTTTGGAGTTTTTTTAACATCAGCTTTCAGGTGACTGCCCATTAATGGAGGGTAATGTATAATTTAAGTTTTTAGCACAGAAGTTATTCTGTCTCAGCACTCAGTTTGTTATGCTTTGACCAGGAAGACAGAGTGCAAGTTAATTCATTACTAGCAGGTTGCCTTTTTTTTTTTTTTTTTTTTTGTAAGTTTCCAATCAAAAGTGGTCAGGAAAACCAAACAACAAATTTTAGCAAAAAGGAACATACAGGGCTCTTCTATACCATTACGCTACACTCATCCATATACTGCAGTGCCGTATGTTTGGCCGTGTGTTTAGAAAGATGCTTTATAAAGGAAGCAAGCCCGTTTCAAGCTGATGTTTTACCAAACTCTCTGGTTACAGTGTTTGTATAGCATGCACTGGTACTAACAGAGGCTTGAATCAGTGATGTTTGTTGCAGCTATTGAATTCATATAACTTAACATACCAAAGTACTGAAAAGAAGTTTTAAAATAGAGAGGCTTCCTTTTAATCCTTCTTCCCCTGTCCTCTCCCCTTCCCTTCTCTCCCCTCAAACCAGATATTTTATCTTCTACAAAGAGATGTTGTTACTACTCTCCTGGGAGAGTGATATGTAGAAAGTAATCAGTCAATGAGCGACCAGTCTTTCCGTTTTCTGATGATACCCTTTGCAGCCTTTGGATGCCTACTGTTATTCATCATTGTTTCCTGAAAGTTTTCGACTTTAGTTAAATGATAATTTTGTTGCTCCATATTTCAAGTCCCAGGCTCTTGTGCAAATCAGCAGAACAGTTTACTTAGTTTTCTAATATTATGCATCATACAGAGTGCCGCTTTCTCAAAGCAGTGGGAAGATGCGTCCATTCTGACTGTGTACCAAGGCTACGCAAACTACAGATGTAGTGATGGGCAAGACACTCACCTTGGAATAAATTACCTGTAAAACTATGCTTGAATACAGTTTCCATCAACTTGGGTTATTGCCATACTTGAGCATGTCCAAACTAATTTGAAGCTATTTGCACACCTGTCTAATGTAATGGCCTCCAAACACTGGTGTAGAGGAGATCAGATTAAAGGACTTTGGCGTCCTCCAGTTTAAGTACAGATGTGAGCCTGAGAAGAAAATTTCAAATGCTCCTGCATAAGAGTAGACTCTTTTTCACTAACCCACGCAGTTACCGCTGTTGTGAGCATGCCACTCTTGTTTTGCTGATTGTGTTTAACGGTACACAGCTGCATTTTGTTGGCTGCTACAGAGTACATGTATTTTTCTTGGTATTTGCCCTGAATTCTTTCAACACTAGAGGACTTGTTCACGATCACGCTGCACAAGCCCACACAATGTTTTCTGGAATTGTATTTAAAGAATAACTGTTCTTTCTTGTTCTTACTGCAGAGATTAATGAAAGTATTGAACAAGTGGGTTGGACATAATCTTTAAGCATAATAGTTTGACCTAATTAGTTGCATTCAGTCTTTGCAATGAAAAATGTGCTCACATACTTTGAGAGCACTCTTACTTGAATTGCCTTGCTTTTGGAATGAAAGTCAGAAGAGAGATGGGCATTTGTGGGTGAATCACTGTACTTCTGCGAGTCTTGTTTTCCTGGCTGTAAAACAGGGGAAAAAAGGGACTGATTTTCCTTAACTGCTTGGAGAGAAAGAACTAGAAGCTTTATTTTAGCTGAGATGATTGAAGAGAGACAAGATCTGCAGGGAGAAGGGACATCTTATGTAAGAATTAGGTATTATATTTCATGTCTTAATGAAATACATGAAAAATGGATTATTACAATATGCAAATATATAATGATTCTGTAAAAATTGGCATAGGGATTATTGGATTCCATTGGGCACTTTCTTTCCCAGTCTACTCTGGATGTTTTAACATTTGCTAGCTTTTCATCCCATTCTATCTTTTGTAGTCTTAGATTAATTCAATCCATTTTCTCTATATATCTTACTGTTTATAAAAAGTTTCATCGTTCTGAAGAAAATTAATCAGCTTTTCAAGACATCTTTGCAAAGGAAATGCGCCAAAAAATATTCAACATATCTTTGTTAAAATGAAGCCTTCACAGTTTTATATTGACTTAGAAAACATAACAATACAAAATACTATCTGCTAAGAATTTGTCTGGCATTATATGGGACATGGAGGAAGGTATTTCTGTTCCCCTATTAGAAAACTTGCTTTAAAAATTTTAACTATGGAGGCCAGATTTTCCCGCCAGTTGACCTTGCCTGTTGTTCGGTCTAACCCATGTGTTAATATTTCTCATCTATTCTGCAGGCATAATTAGTTATGTTAAAAAAAAAAGAAAAAAGTAGATGTCCAGCTGCACATTTGTCTGTTCAGCAGACTTTTTCCTTCTGCCTCAGTGGGATCTGCCATACCATGTACTGATTCAATGATCTGACTGGGTGCTCAGTATTCATTTTTTTTGACTTAATAACAGAGACTGTAAAAATAACTGTTAAAACCATCTGTACCTGAGCAGATTGTCATTTATGCAACAATATGGAGTTTATTTGTATGTAATAATAAGCTGTTCAAGTGCTGCTTGCTGGTTCATGGAGTTTTTAGAAGAAATGAGAATGGACTGTAAGCAGGTAGCCTAAGGCTTTGAGTCTTGGCCTTTTGATTTCATTATTAACTCTGCAAAGGGCAAAGTCTAGCTCATTCATCCTTCCCCTGGTTTTATCTTAATCCGAAAGAGAGCTAAGCAAAGGCATGGGTTCTTTATAAAACACCTTGGTTCTTTTGTAACTTTTCACTAAGAGAAATGACAAGAAAAAACTGTTCTCAGACTCTGAAAATTGCAGATCAGAGGTTGGATTGGATGAGCTGAAAAATTGCAAGTAACCTCTTGCAAATGCTAATTAAACTATCTTCTTAGTTTCCTCTACTACATATAATTACAAAAGAGTATATATCCTTCTCGACTTCCTGGTCTACTGGGTGGAGTAGCACCACTAGTCACTTCTTGCCATCAACACCAGCTCCAGGGCTGCCGAGTGCCCTGTTCGGAGCTGCACTGACTCCTCTCCATCCTGGACCAGCAGCCTGCTCTCATGTGGCACTTCCTCAGGAACCTCGTGTGATTGGCAGGTTAACTGCTTCCTTGGGGCAGGTTCGGTCTGGACCCATGGGCGCTCCACCTGCTAGTGCACCTGGTGTGCCTGGTTTCATTTGGAATGAAATCTTCTATGTGCTCCCACTGAGCACTTGAAGATTCGTAACACTTTTCAGTGCAAAGTCAGAAAGCGAGAGTAGGTAACAGTTTACCCTGGGGACTAGAAGTGTCTCCTCTGGAGACACTGACCAAGAAATGGGCAGTGAAAAGAAGATTCCTGAACTGTTCCTCAGTTCCACCAGTGTCTCCTTTATTCCTTCCAGCATAAATTCAGTAATTCGCCAACAGAAAGACTAGGATTATTCACTACATCAGTTAAGGCTGATTTGCAAACCAAACTGCATCTGAGAGTGTTCATGTCCTACACCACAAGAAGTGCATTCAAGAGGCCCCATGAAAAGGGAATTTCAAAAGTAGCTTGGCCTTTCTCAAAGATACTTGTACTGATCAGCTCTATGATGGCTCCTGTTATTGTGAAAATTACTCCTCTGCTTCAGAAGAGCTCTTTTGAATTATTTGTACACTTTTTTACTAACAGCCTGGTCTTCAAGAATGTAGCCATTGCTTCACCAGAGACGATAATTTCTGGTTCAGTACAACTCCCTCTCGTATTCCATTAGCTGAACATAAACTGTTCCCAAAGGCTTGCTTTAGTCTTGTAAGAAAATTAACCCCCATGTAAAACACGCTTTTCCGTAACTATCATTGGTATTAATAAATGATGGATGAAGGCTTTGTCTCCACTGCAGTGCCAGCTTGGCCTGTAATTCAGGTTTTGCCTTTACTCTCAACCCAACACACACAAGTCACTGATTCAGATTAAACAGTGCTTTAGATTTAAGGTTTTGGGGCTGTCAGAAGTTTGTCCATGCTGCCTGCATTAATAAAGCAGCAGAGATTCAGGTGCAGACCAGTATTGGGTGCATGAGCATGATCATTTCCATTTGGATTAGGGTTATACTGTTGAAGCTGTGGTTCAGTTGGTACTTCAGAGTGTTCTTGGAGCCTGCAAATAGCAGACCTTTGCGGTGAAACTAAAGATCAGGACATTGCCTAATACGCTCAAAGAGCTAATGAGTATTTACTCCACAGGATCAGACTAATGTAGGCTAGTCCAAGAGAAATCTCCCTGGAAAGTGCACAGCTGGATGCCAGGTCCTCAGCAGCAACCCTTTCACTGTACAGATCCACTGTTATTTGTGGCATGCTGCTTGGTAATGTAACCACAACCTTTAGCACGCTGCCTGGGCTGTTAATCTACTTGCAGTCATTTTGTGTGCTCTAACGCTGTTTCCTGTTTTTGTAGCTTCTCCCTGTTACTGCTCCCACTTGAGATTAGCTAGCTTGAGCAGAACAACTCCAGCTAATGATAGAGAAGGATAGCATCAGTTTACCTTTTTTCTTGCATGAAATAAGTGTGTGGAATCTTCCCTCAAGGTTTTCCTGGCTTCTTGAGTTGTTATATCACTGATTTCCATATTTGCTTTTTTGTAACGTGCCTGCTTTAATCAATGCAGTGGGACTTTCTGACAGCACTGGGATGTATTTCACATTCACCTCAGAGGAGAGCGAAGCCCAGCAGGATAACATCTTTTTTTTTTTTTAAGCCTAAGACATTTGGTTTTTCTAAACAGATTGGATGTTCTGATTTGAAATTATGAGTGGTTAGACGGCATCCTATCTTTAATTAGGTTGCACAGACTGAGTCATTTTGCAAGCTAGACATTTTAATTTACAATCTACTGCACTGCAGCACTCTTCAAGGCCTTCTGCTGTGTAATAAGGTATTCGACTTGCAGCAGAGGCTTTAAAAATACTGGAGTACTCTCTGTGACTTCACTTGTTTATTTTATATTTTCAATTGTAGTTGCAAATCAAACATGCAGTTACAGAGGCTGAAATTCAGAAGCTGAAGACGAAGGTAAGAATCAATATATGGTTAATATACACTGTTTTTTTCCTCTTATGCAAAATCAGATCCGAAGACATGTATCTTTATGTGGGTGGAGAAGTCAACGTCCTTATTAAAGGCAGATTAAGAAGCACAGTGGCTCAGCTGTATCTTCTCTTGGTGTATATTCTCTATTCAAGTTTCAAGTAAAATCTTAAGTATTGCTTTTAAGAGAAACTGCCAACTTACGTGACTTCAATTAAACATACATTTTAATGGGTATTATAATGACTAAATGTCAGATTTCTAGTTTTACAGTTCTACAGTCGCATTTTCTTGGGTTTTTAGGTTATATTTGGATTGAATGCTCAAATCTAAGTTAGTAGGATTTTATTTACCAGTGATGTTAAAGTAGCCTGATTATGCTAATTTCCTTTTTTTGATGTTTAAAAAAAATTCCTTAATTTATTTGAAGGTATTTAATAGAAATTACTTTTTATATACAGAAGAGAAAGAGCTGTTTCATATTGTTGCAGTTCTCTTTAAAAGATACTCTAGAAAGGAAAAAGCTTACCAGTTTAACAGAAAATATTGTCTCACAATTGGTTGGTAGTTATTAGATTGAATTTGCTATAGCAATAAAAAGGAATTGTATTTTTTGTACGAGGATAACCTTTATGGGAAGTCAACTGATAATTCAGTTGCTGAGTAATACTAGATTTTATAATGACATCCTTCTCTTTGAGTTTGAGTACATTATGAAGGAAATAAGAAGACAGAAAAAATTGTGCTTCAGAAAAAGATTTTAGATTTTTTTCTAGCAATCATTTGCATTCACCATGTATTTTGCATAGTGTTTATCAAATCTGCATAAATTACTGTTACAAACAAATTCAGAGTGCAACTATTTTCTGTAATGACAATTTCTACTTACTTTTTCAGTTCAGAAAGTCAGAAATTTTTCTCGGTCTACTTTCTGGTTCAAATCTAGCAAACAGAGCTGTGCGGTCAATCCCTTGGGATTGTGCCAAGCCCCATTGACTTTATGGCAATGGTGCGTGGGTGTAAACACTCATCTGTGCAAATCCATTTGGAAGATTAGGGTTAATGTGCCTTTTTGTGTTGGACTTCTTTACCTAGTGTTTTGAATAGAGCTAAAGAAAATCTGACTAGTTAAGGTATATTACTAATAAAACTGCAAACAAATTATTTTCTTTGTGTGTCTATCATCCGTGATGGGAGCAGAACTGTCTAGAGCAAATTAAACAATCTTGATAAGTAAATGGGGATGTTAAGGCATTTTTTGTTTTCTCTAAATTCTGGGAGCTAAAACATACAATCTGCTGAGCAACCCTACCCTTATCCAGGACCGAACATTGAAACCTGCAGCTAGCTTCAGCTGGGAAGTGAGAAGCCTAGCACAAAAAAAAAAAATGTAACAAAAAAGCTAGCAAATGAGCTAAGATTTATTATAAACTCAGCAGTAAAAATCAGGCTTCTTTGAGGTCACTTAGAGAAAGTCATTTGGCTTCATTGGCGCCAAATAGTGGAACTGGCAGTGGAACTGCGTTGGTCACAGAGTTAAGCTGTGCTGATGTGTTCGGCTGAATTAGCGCTTGAAATCTCAAACAGCTCAGGCGTATTTTCCTTTCCATATTAGCTCCTTACAACTCAGTAAGCAAGTTTACAGAAAACAAGAGTTTTATAACAGGTTCTCGTTGTCCTTGAAATCGTTCTGGCAGAGTTTCAGTATTGAATGCAAAACTCTGTGCTTGCTTACATGAAAAAAGATTCTAGGTTACCACTCGATGTTAAATTCTGAATTATGCTCCCAACCTCTTTTGTTTGGCTTTCTAGATTAAGCAAGATTATGACGTGAAAACAGGCATTGTAAGAATTCAGTAGAATTTCTAATTTGGGTTAAAAAGCAGATAGTTAGATTAGAGGTAATTTACTTTTTTCCTATTGTTTTCTAAATTGTTCTTAAATCAAGTATAGAATTTAGAAATCAGATTCCCCCCCTAAAATAAGAAATTTAATTGTTTTGTGGAAGTGTATGAATGCTTTGTAACACCTGAGCTGCATGCATAGAGCAAAATACATCCCCAGTGCTGACTGATTAACCCTGCAGTTTGCCTGAATACTCTACTATTGATATTTTCAAGTGTGTTTATTATAACCCAGAGGAGTATAGAGGCTGCACTGGAACACAAAGCAAAGACTCGACTTTGTTTTATGAGGAAGAATAACATATGTACCAGCCTGTTTTCTTTGTCCTGGAATGCTCTTTTCCCTGCTAGCATATTCCTATTCTAGTTATTAATTCACTGATTTTCACTATTCATGTTGTTTGAATTAATCCTAGACTATTAGGCTGCACTTTGCAGCTTTTTACTGAGTGCATCTCCACTCTTTTGTTCAGCTGCAGGCTGCCGAGAATGAGAAGGTGAGGTGGGAATTGGAGAAGACCCAACTCCAGCAGAACATTGAGGAGAATAAGGAAAGGATGATGAAATTAGAGAGTTATTGGATTGAGGCACAAACCTTGTGTCACACGGTGAATGAGCACCTCAAGGAGACGCAAAGCCAGTATCAGGCTCTGGAGAAGAAATATAACAAGGCAAAGAAATTAATCAAGGATTTTCAGCAAAAGTAAGCAGCTGCGCCAGACTCAGCAAATGACTTAGTGGCCAGATAGAAAACATATATGTGATATATTTTGAAATATGAAACCCACTATTAAACACCTGTAAGGTAAACACTATTTTTCACTTTTTTTTTCATGAAAAACACGATTTCTTTATTATGGAAAATTGTTAGTAGTGTTCAAATATGAGTTTAGTATTGTTGAAAATAATATTATAAATAAATAAAGACTTCATCTGTGGTATTCCAGGTTGGAATGTTTCAGAATTACTAGATAACGAAATGTGATTGCAAACTACGAAGAGTAATCGTAGTAAAGCATTTGATTAGCAATTTTTGCAACAATTTGTAGGGGTAATGTATCAGCTGGATTCACTCCCGCTGCGCACTAATGTAACATCAAAAAGAAAATTGTTATGTTACATTTTACATTTTATTTTTCTTCTTCTCGTAGATGCCAAGAATGTTTGAGCTGAGTTGAGCTAACTGATGATTACCTGGCTCCCTCTCTTTCATGTGGTCCCCTCTCCCTGATGACTAGCAAGAATAATAAGATCTTACATTTCTGTAACAGCTTGTATTCCCCCACATTTCTTTTTTTTTGCAGCAACTTTTTCATTTAAATGTACTCATTTAAAGAAGAAAACTCGAAAATGTATAGCAATGTCAAGTGACACCTGGGAGTGCAGAAGTGAATATCCTGTCCCATTAAAAAGAGTTTTAGATAGTTGAAATGTTATTACCCATCTTGGAATTTTGTGACTTTTCCAGAACTAGTTGACGTTTTGTGTACTTTCTATCACAAATGTCTTAGGTTTTCAAAATAAAAACAAATAGGGAAAATAGCTAGAATGAGCGTGGATAGCCTTTCTGTTGTTATTCTGCTTTATATTAGTAAAAGGTCTAGTCAGTTGCTTTTATCTATCTCAGACTCCTAAAATCACCTAACAGATTTCCTTATAACTTATTAGAAAATAAGATTTGTACCTGGAAATTTACAGATGTCCTTTTCTGCAAAGGATTACAGTCATACTCTCATAAAACAGAGATTTTACTTCATTTCCTACAATAGAATGCAGCATAAACTAAGCTAACATTGTTTTAATTGTTAATACAGATTATGAAAAAATTAGTTTTATGTAACTGTTTTGATTATCAATTAGAACAACTGAGATTTTTACTTTTTTCCAGATAAACTCCTCTAACCATGTTTATATCTTCACATAGCATATTAATTTAGACTAAGTAATTTTTTAGGGGTTTGTCCTAATTGCACTTTCATACTTCTTATTAAGTTAGTAATAAAATATTCATTAACAATAGAATTTTCTGATGGATAGCTTAAGAAATATCAGAACATTTTGTTTTCTCTTTCGATCCAATTGCTTTGATGACAGCAAATACATCTTTTTTTCCCTAAGAGAACTTGACTTCATCAAACGCCAGGAAGCTGAACGAAAGAAAATAGAAGATTTGGAGAAAGCACATCTTGCAGAGGTTCAAGGCTTACAAGCTCGTGTGAGTAGTATTTACTCTCATATTTGAAGAATGAGACAACTCTGTCTGATATTCTGGAAAAAAAAAAAGTGATCTTACAGATGTGTGTATATGTTGTGTGTAACAGTGTGCTGTATTTCTTTTAGATAAGAGACTTGGAAGCTGAAGTTTTCAGGCTAATGAAGCAAAATGGGAGCCAGGTTAACAATAACAACAATATTTTTGAAAGGCAGACATCTTTTGGAGACGTTTCTAGAGGAGATCCAGTGGAAAATCTAGATACTAAGCAAGTGTCCTGTCTGGATGGCTTAAGTCAAGGTTTGTTTGAACCAAACTGTAACTCCTGTAAATATGTATGTAAATAGCATGGTTATAATTCAGGATTTAAAGGCAAAAATAATGCAGAGATGTTATTTTTCCAAAATTCAGTGTCTAATGACAAGTGCGTCAGGGTTGTACCAAATAATTCCAATACAGAGTCCCAGAGTGGCTGTATAACATATATTCTTAAAGAAATGGAAGTGACTAAGTGCTAATAAAGCAAGGATTGTTATTGATTTATTAAAGCTATCAGTGGGATGCCATCAACATTTAGGTTTAATTCGATGCTTCTGTTATGTTACTAAAGTAGGAGAAAATTATGTTTTTTCCTGTGTTCCTAAATCTGTCCTTCATTACCCAGCCACCGAAGATCAAACAAGAGCAAAGCGACCAGAATGAGAAAAACAATGTTAATCTACCATTTGGATGAATCTCTATAGGTTCTGTTCTCACCTTCGTACAGACATCAAAAGGAACCATGTAAACGACAGTCACCATTTCTCAGGACGGAGCCTTTTGTGAATAAAATGCAAATTCTTTACTAGCACATTAATTAAAAATCTTATTCAGCTATAGAACAGCCTGATTTACGGCATAAGACCTGTAAGACTTCGTTCTACATTACCGAAGAGCCAAAACAATTTGTGGCAACACTGAGATCTGGATAGATACCATCAGCAGGGTAACAGTGACCTTTACTTGTTTTGCACAGAAAAGATAATTCTCACTTTTCAGGCTGTGCCAGTGAAAATACACAGATAACTTCCACAGCTTTAATTAGAGTTTTAAGTTCTGTAATTGTGAACTGCAGAATTAAAGCAGATTTTAGGTGCACAGCCTTGGAACAAAATGGTTTGATGCAGGAGCAATACTTACTGTCTGTTTAGTGACATCTGTTAAATCGGGTGTCGGAGGTGTTGAGATTGCAACAAGGGAGCACCAGATTCTGTTCCTATATAGATTTTCATTTTAAATAAACTACAATATTATTTGTTTCTCCGATGAAAAAGACTCACAACATTACTGAATAAATTAATTTCTAGCAAGCATAGAGACACTTTATTGAAATTGATATTTTAGCAGTTATTTCATGAGTGGACCCAAACTGAATATTACTTTTCAAATAAATCAACATGAATTACATTTTTAACAAAATATGTCTATAAAAAAGAGCTAGTTCTGCTAAAACGGTATTTGGGGAATATGCAGACCTTGTGGAATTGGTTTCCCTGAATTTTCACATAGCTGTTTTTTTCTAACAAGTGTTTATTATACTGAAATCTCTGAAGTGCAGAAAGCACTCAAGATGACAAGAAAGTTTGTATTTCTGCCATAGAGACTCAGTGAGTGTTATGAAATATTTAAATATTTAATACTTAGCAACACTGTTAACAGAAATCCTTTCAGTACCTTGCATCAGGAAAGGAAAGTGTGTTTTCTTTACCTGACGAACAAAAATCATGTTTATTCTTACTGGTGTAACAATGTCAACACACATCCATGGCTCAAGAGCTGAAATCTAGGAGTTCCTACATGTAAGGAAAAAAATTATTTGTAAAATTCTTTCTGAAAATTTGAAAATTCTTTGTAAAGCATTGGAACTCTGCTTGTCAGTACTTTCAAATTGTATTTTTCAATTTATAGATTTCCATTAAAATTTTCATTTTCCTAGAGCTGCTGTTTTTCATTGCAAAAACATTCCCCTGGAGAAATGTTACCAGTGTTCAGTGCTTCTGAGAGTTAGAATAGATGAACTGTGAATTTAAATACCGGAGTTTAACCACCTGACTACAAACATGAATTATTCGCTAGGAAAAATAGACAGTGATTTTTGGAAAGCAGAAAAAGCATAGTTGGACCTTAGATTCCAGGCTGGATGTGTGTTTTTGACAAGAGAAAAAGAAAAGCCCTTTTTTTTAAATCAAGAGATATCTAAACATCCTGAAGCACTCTTTGACTTCATATACCTTCACCAGTGAATTCCGTATCAGAGTCTCTGAAGGCTGCATCAGACTGTAATGTAGTGATGCTTGGTCTTCAGAAAAAGAGACTGTCTCCACGTCACCCTTGTGTAAACCTTTTAAGAAAACTTGCCTTTGTCTGGTAATACTAATCACTAGAAATTAGTGTATTTACTAATCACCCCGCGGATGTTTGCAGAGGAGATATAAAGGACAGGAGGGATGCCCACAATGTCTTTGGAGGGTGAGCAGAGTTCCACCAGGTGCAGTGTGTTGTGCACACTGTCTCTGTGATGTTCATTGAAGTGCTCCTTTCTCTTTTCTGGATTTTATTTGGCAAATATAATGCACGCTTCTTCTCGAGCCTCAGCATTACGTTTGTGAGGTGGGACTGCATGTACGCAGCCACATCCAGTACCATTTGTTCTGAAGTCTGCAGATCTGTCTTCCCTCAAAAAAATCAGGTTATGTAAAAATACATGTTTTAATTAAAATGATGCCAACTATGTTTTTTGCTTCAGTGCGATCTAAGGTGTTTGCATGATAACAGATTTGGAAAGAGGTAATGGATTTGATCTGGTGGTTGCGTACATACGAGCGTAGCTGTCCCTGCTGCTGCAGGTGCTCCAGCCATGTTCAGCCTCATGCCAGGCTGGATGACTCCTCAGGCTGTAACATTAGCTCATACTGAGTTTGAGGGGCTGCCAGTAATATCAGTGGAAGTTAGAAAATCAAAACCATTCGGGCCCACAGAGTTCTTCCTTTGCTTTGCCCAGGAAAACTAGAAGCCTGAGGATTGTTTCTGTTTTACAAATACGTGATTTATTCTGAGAGTCCAGAAAAAATAGATGAAGTGCTTTGTAGCTTTCTGGTTTAGTGGTCATGAGCTGTGCCTGCAGTAGAGAATCAAACTATTTACTGGAGGGAGTCAGTGGTTTGAAATCTTAACAGTTCAGTGCTGTTGCCAAGTTTGACAGTATGTGCTCATCTCTGCAAATGCCTGTTCAAGCTGCTTTGATGGCTATACTTTCTGGGTGCTTTGGGATACCCAAGGATGCATCAGTTCACAGAACAAGATTTTGAAATCATCAGCCCATATAATGGAAGAATAGTGGGAGGACAGGCGAGCTCTTTCCTGCTCTGCAGTGGCACTGAAATAATTCAAATGGAAGCTCATTTGAGTCAAGTGGTTCAACGCCTGCTGAAAGAAAGTCTAACTATATTGTCTCTGAGAGCAAAATAAAACCTGTTATGACTTTTACATGAGAGATTTCTCAGGCTCCCCAGAGATACCTGAAACACATGGGGTGTGTCTTTGTGCTGATGAGCAGTGAGGGCTGGTGGCTCTCTGTGGAAGAGGGAGCTGAGACCGAGGGTGACAGCACATGTGGCCAGGGCAGAGACCACCTGACAGCAGCCCATCCCCACTGCACCCAAGTGTGGCGAGCAGGGCAGGTCCAGTGATGGAAGTGGAGTCAGCTGGGAGCCCATGCAAGTTCCTGGTGGTGAGGGAGGTCCAAAGGCAAGCTGTGAGGTCTGTCTGTGGGTTCTGGCTCACGTCTGGATCCACAGGATGCATGGCCTGAGGGTGAAGCCCAGCTTAAACATAGATTCTGATGGGGAAGGAGCCCTACTGATGCTGTGTGAGCTCTTTGCAGCACGCTGAACCACGGTTCGGTACCCGCTGCGCAACTGCGAGAGCTGCCGTTGAGTGCGGGCAGCCCAGCTCTGGGCTGGAAGGAGCAGTGACCTCCAGGCCCAGGAGGTATTTTCCTTAAACAAGGCCAATATGACCATGTCTGTGAAATAAGCATTTGCACTACTACGTTGATATTTTGCATAATTTGAGCTGTGAAAGGAAGTGACGTTTGGAAGTGTGTGCACCTGAAAGAATAAGTATAAGCCATTCAAGTCATGACAACGTGCAGTTATCCTATCGAGTACTCAGGGCAGAAGCATAATTACGGGTCAGACAATGCTAATGGGTTTGTAGTGTCATTGGTATATAGAGTTTAACTCTTAAAAAAGCAAAACATGGTACTGAAAGTCTTTGCAGTGCTTTAAGAAAACACAGATCTGCAAAAATAAAAATGAGTTTGAATGAGTCTTACCCTTCAGTTATTTACTGGCATGCTGACTCAACATGTGGCTCTGGTTTTGAGAGACAGTTTGAGCTGAACTGACAGATAATTACTGTTGAAATGGGAGACTCCACACCATCCCTGCCTTTGTCCAGCCACCTCGTTCTGCCTCTTCCATTGCCCTATGCTAGCACTTACACACTTCTGTGCACACTCTGATTCACTGAAATAACAGAAAACTGACCTAAGAGAGGAAGAGGTTGGAGTATCAGACTACAATTGGATAGATTCTGCTGGATCAATCATTTGCTACGAGGATTAAAAAAAAGAAAAAAAGGTGAAACTGTAAAGATTATTTCATTTGTGGTGTAAAAGTGAAAACACCTTTTAAATGTATTTTGCCTTACTGTGGCTTTGCAATGTATTAAATTTGCTGAAATAACTCGGATTTCATTCGAGTAGATGATTGATAGCCAAGGGAACTGCAGTTATGTTACCTCAATTTGTAGAGGCAAGTCATATATGAAGTGTTGCACTTTCTTGAATAGGGTGACTTTGAACTCAAGTAAGGTTGGTTCATTGTTCCATTTTTTGTATTAAATATTTCTCCAGCTTTTATGGATGACATAATGGTGTTTGGGCAGTAGGTGAAAGAGGAAACATCTAAAACTGCTTTCCCTTCAAAACCAGTGCTATTTAACATCTTTGTTGGAGACATGGACAGTGGGATCCAGTGCACCCTCAGCAAGTTTGCAGATGACACCAAGTTGTGTGGTGTTGTGGACACACTGGAGGGAAGGGATGCCATCCAGAGAGACCTTGACAGGCTGGAGAGGTGGGCCTGTGAGAACCTCATGAAGTTCAACAAGGCCAAGTGCAAGGTCCTGCACGTGGGTCGGAGCAATCCCATGCACAAGTACAGACTGTGCGGAGAATGGATTGAGAACAGCCCTGAGGAAAAGGACTTGGGAGTACTGGTGGATGAGAAGCTCAACATGAGCCGGCAATGTGCGCTGGCAGCCCAGAAAGCCAACCATATCCTGGGCTGTATCAAAAGGAGCATGGCCAGCAGGTCAAGGGAGGTGATTCTGCCCCTCTACTCAGCTCTCGTGAGACCCCACCTGGAATGCTGTGTTCAGCTCTGGAGTCCCCAACACAAGAAGGACATGGAGCTACTGGAACGAGTCCAGAGAAGGGCCACGAAGATGATCAGAGGGCTGGAGCACCTCTGCTGTGAAGATAGGCTGAGAGGGTTGGGGCTGTTCAGCCTGGAGAAGACAAGGCTCCGGGGGGATCTTATAGCAGCTTTCCAGTACCTAAAGGGGGCCTACAGGAAAGCTGGAGAGGGACTTTTTACAAGGGTGTGTAGTGATAGGACAAGGGGCAACGGATTTAAACTGAAAGAGGGCAGATTTAGGTTAGATATAAGAAAGAAATTCTTTACGTTGAGGGTGGTGAGGTACTGGAACAGGTTGCCCAGAGAAGTTGTGGATGCCCCATCCCTGGAAGTGTTCAAGGCCAGGTTGGATGAGGCTTTGGGCAGCCTGGTGTAGTGGAGGATTTCCCTGCCCATGGCAGGACAATTGGAACTAGATGATCTTTGAGGTCCCTTCCAACCCTAACCATTCTATGATTCTATGATTCTAAGTAGGTTTTCGTGATTTTTCCAGCAGAAAGTTATCTGTACAAAGACAACAGTGAGTAAGAGTGACAATGCCCATGTCTTTTCTGATGATACAAGAAAATTACGCAGCTCTGGGATTTTGTTTTTTATTTCTTTTTGTTATTTTAAAGTACATAGGGTAAAATATAACATCTGCACAAAGCCCAGATGTTCAGAAAGTACAGCAACTGTGTAGGGAGTTAAGTGGGAGAGTAGAGTACATCTCCCAGCTTTCACCCAGGTCTTCTGGTGACCTTTTGATGGGTTTTGTTGGGATAATTACTGCTGTCTTGTTGCAGATCTCTCAGAGTGTTTTTGAGCTGTTGGATCAGCATAATGACAGATCTAATAGTCTGTGTCCTGCTTCACACAGTTATAGTTTTTTTCCTAGTAAATCAGGCAGAAGCAGAGTCCCTTCTCTCTTGTGCACGTTGTGGCTTTCCTATTCATGCCTTGAACAGCTGTGGTTCAGGATGCCTTTCATGGACCTTCTGAGTTTTTACTATCATGCTAAACTTTATGCAGTATCACTGATAGTTAGTTGCAGTGAAAATTTATTTCAGCACTCTCGGGTTCTTCCTGCAAAGCTGTGACACTGCCTTTCTAATGATTTTGCCAAAATGTGTTGCTGAAAGCTGAAACCAGACAACTACCATAGACTGTGATAATCACTGTAATGATCACGTCCTCTAGACTCCTGCTTAGGAAAAGGGGCTTGGCAGAGTGTCTTCTCATGTGATCCGAGGGCAAGTGAGGCAAGGCTGTATTTGCGGTAGGTTGTATGAGGGACCACAATGTTTGGTGCTGACAGAGATGTGAATTCATCAACTTTATGTAAGTTTTATAAGTTTGAAGGAACTCAGAGTAAAAGAGAGAAGGACCTACAAGAGGAGATAATTTTTCTGACTGTGCAGCAAGGGAGGAAGTAACAAATGGGATTGCCAAGTACTAATAAAAAGATACTTTTACATGCAGAAGAGTTGGGGTAAACAGTTGAGGCATCGTGTTTATATTGTCACATACAACTTTGAACAACAGGTGACCACCTCATCGTCCAGAGGAGGATTGGGACTCCTCCCCTCTGCTGTCCCTTCTGAGAGGGATAACGTTATAGAGCAAGCAACCTGTTTCACTGTAGGTCCAAAGGAATGAGTTTAACACTTGTTTCATAATCCTGTAAAAGGCTGCCTGTAAAGCAATCCAATCACAAGGGGTTATCTATTATTTGGATACTACCTGTATCACTCTGTGTGTGCTACTGACTACAGACATTGCTTGTTTGTAATTTGTTCGTATTGTACAAGATTATTTTGAGGGACACTCAGTACAGGAGAGAATAAATCATGTTCTTTAAATTTGTAAGCCATTTTGGTTACGATCAAATATAGAGCGGCCTGAGAACTGCTTGAGACACTTTTGTAATTTGACGAACAGCCCGCAAAACTGGTGAAGTTACAAGGGAAATGCTTGATGGGGCAGCTGTGGGAAAAAAATGGCAGTCCAGTATCTGCTTCTCAAGTGGCATTAAAGAGCAAGATTGGGGATAAATGAATTGGTCCCTGGGTCTAAATTGGTATATTCATGCAGATCCTGGGAAATGTCTGTCAAAAAGCAGTGAGATGAGGATTCCTTTATGCCCTGACGGAGGAGAGCTCTTTGTAGGCCAAGCATGTGCAAGTCCCTCTGAGAGCGTCTAAGTGGACCTGCTTTCTGGGCTAGTACAGCTGTTTTTGACAAGTATGTTGGTTTTGTGTGGTCCTTCACCTAACAGTGGGAATCATTTCTTGAATTTTTAAATATTTGCAGTTGATTTGTCATTATGCAGTTACTGGATCTGTGTAGATAAACTTGTTAATGATTTATGCAAATAACCATTTTTTGCATGTGTACTTTAACAGTGATGAAGATACAGGTACAAGTAAAACATGCAAAGTGCATGTACTTGCAATTGCAGGTCCTGTCTTAGGAAAAAGTAGTGAAAGATTCTTCTGTTAAATAGCTTCAAATCATGTTTCCATACAGATTTCAGTGAAGCAGTGCCAGAAACGGAGAGACTGGACTCCAAAGCTCTGAAGACTCGAGCTCATCTTTCAGTGAAGAACAGGCGACAGAGGCCTTCTAGAACAAGGCTATACGATAGCATCAGTTCAACTGATGGAGAGGACAGCCTAGAACGAAAGGTGAGAAGGACTCTACCCTCTCTCAGGCTTCCTATGGAGTGCTAGATTGCCCCTGTAAGTCATTTGATTCTCTGTGTTTGTCCTTTCCTTGCAGCACAGGCAGTATTTATTACTCTGTGGTCAGTATGCTATGAATGTCCTTGAGTGATGTGCAAATCTGGTCTCCTTTGAGTCAGCACACCTTGTTTTTTGGTTTTGTTGTGTTTGGTTTTTTTTAACAGGAGTCCTGGGCTTTCTGATTTATGCGTGCTTTATAATGCAGAGTGAGTCCTTTCGTTTATGCAGGAGGTGAAAGGAACTTGAATCATGCGTTTGTTTGTTAATTTTTTAACACAATTGATAATGATATTTACTCGTTGTTTTGTCCAATTCTGGCTTCCATCGGAAAGCAAATACCAATAAACAACACTGTGCATGTTATCAAAAGATAATGGCATGAATTGCCAAAGCGTTTCCTACAAATAGAAGGATAAATAATGAATAAAAGAATTGCATGTTCAAAGTAAACCTTGCTCTGATTGGTTACTAAATGATATAACCTGCTTTATAATCTCTTATACCAACAGCCATCAAACAGTTACAGTAGTTCCATGCACATTTCAAAATCACCACTGCCCTTATGCATGAGAGCATCCTCACCAGCATCAGATTCTGGTGCTTCCTCCCTCTCCCCCGTGGCTAGCAATGCAGCAATCTCACTTGACAACCTAACTGAAAACCAGGAAGACGGACAACACCAAAAAGGAGGTGTCCTTTCCCCCCATGCTCGGGGAGACACTCCACTTTCCTCTCCGTCAAAATCTGGGCACAGCTCTGAAGCATCTCCTTTGCATCATCCAGCTGGCAGGAATATTTTACAGAATAAAGGTATTACTGTTTTTTACAATAAATTGATGCATCATTTTGCTCACTTACATCTACTTTATAAATTGCTGTTGTGTAATAGGACCATGGACCAACTAGAAGGCCATCGTCTCATAACTCCTTTTGTCTACCTGGAAGTAAAAACATTGCAATTTACCTTGTAGGGTGGTATAAGAAAAGGGCAAAGTCCGAACTGAGATCAGGAACTGCTTCCTTTGTTTTTTTTCTTTCTTGGAACTCATTGAAAAAGATAGGGGGATGTTGCCTTTAAGGAAATATTATCTTTTGTTTTAAAAAACACCAAATTATTAGACCTTAGGACATTTCTGTATTAGAAGCATGCTTAACACAGTGTACTTAGGTGAATTATGTGGGTTTGGCACTACTAGATGCTTTTTTTGGAGGGTGGGGAAAGGAGTGTAGAGCAAGAATAACAGATTGTAGCTCTTAATTGCTGAGAAGCAGCATAGTTTAGATTAAACAAGAGGTCAATGCCTGGGGAATATTCATTTACAGAAAAAAAAATTCAGGTAATTTCTTGAGGAGGTTGGCCACATTGGTATTTATTTAATTCAAATTCTTTAAATGTAAGCTGGATAAAACATGATGCAATCATACCTAGCTTAGGTACGTTTCTCAGATACTAGTTTATTCAATGTATTAACAATACGATATGGCACAGAATTCTGAGCCCTCTTGTTCAGATGCCTTGGGGAGTCAAAAATAGCATTTTACACAACTTTAGCAGTCTTAGCTATGCACTATGCATTCTCTAACTGTCACATAAGCTAAAATATGTGATCAAAATTGTGAGGACTGCGGGATCAGGTCTGGATAAGTTCGTAACAGACTTTGACTTACTTAAATTAACTGGAAAAAAAAATTTGTTGAGGAATTCTGTTTGTGTAGCTCAAAAGATTTGCCATTCGTTTATAACCTGTTTTTCCTTAATCTTCATATAGGGCCTTCACACAGATTCTTAAAAGACGGGTTAATGAAGTTTAGTTGAATTTAGACTAGGTTACTATATGCTAGCATTTTTACTTAGGTTCTGAAATTGCTAGTCTAATTGTATAGTTGCTAATTGTGTAATTTGTAACGAATCAAAGTTAAATTCAAAGCTTGAGTTTGGCAAGTAAAAATAAGGGTGTGAACATAGGAGTGTGATGTACAGCTTGAATGTATGATTGGTTTATCTATGAAGTCATAAATTCTGTATTTCCATCCAGTGCATGAAAAATATCGTGATAAAAATTTGGTGGAAACTAGCCTTGTAGTGTAAAGAATAGAGTATTATATTCCACTCACTATGTCACTCTTTCCTTCCCAATTTAGATTTGAAAAATAGTCTGTCTAAATATTGATGTTGTGCTTTCCCCACTGTGGCTGTTAAGTAAACAACCAGTGCTTTTGGGTGTATCCAGATTCTGATGAGTACATGAAAATTAAACCAGTGCAATTTAGCTTCAAATGGAAAATTTGCATACAAAAAAAAAATATCCTAAAGCAGTTGTTGTTTGGCAGGAAGTAGCGATACTATTTTAATTCATTATTAATTTGACTGTCAAACTCTCACAGGTCAGAAAATAAGAAGGACTGTTGTATTTGTTCTGTGTGTTCAGGTAGGCTTTTTTGAGAGATGGAAAGGGGACACATTTGTGGACATGTGTGTCTCCATTGATCAATCTCTGATTAGCAAAAGTGAGAATTGTCAAGTTCACTCTTGTCTCCTTTTTCTTTCTTATGAGATCGTGCAGTATTGTGGGAAGAGCTGAAGTGGCATGAGATCAGTTTCCTCATTATTGCAAAATGATGTGGCATTGAAGCACAACTTTTTCATATATATGGATGATTAATTTCTTTTATTCGGTTCTGCCTGTCTTGTGCAACAGCATCCTTAGACAAGGCGGCCGAGGTGACGCCTGTGGGCAATCCTCCGTTGATAGGAGGCTGGCTGCAACTGTGTTGTGACCTTGGGGAAGAAAGTTAGGTCTAGTCTCCTTTCACATCCGTCAGCCACAGATTTCTTACACCAGCTGCTTGAGACTGAAAGGGATGGAATAAATGGCTTCTGTGTGATTTACTCTGAGGAACTGGCTCTCCCTCACCCTGTCGAAGAACTACGAGGAATCAGGGAAAACGTGCCCTTCCAGGGTGGTCAGAGTCCCCTCCTGGCCAGGCAGGGCACCTGCAGCCCTGGTTCATGGCCACCGCCATGGGCCAAGCACGGTGTACCTCTGTACGTGCAAGCCTCTGTAGAGTCAAATCTACTCTGCCACTCAAGTTGTTTTTGGGACCCAGCCCATCCATCTTCAGCTGTGTCCCATAGCTAGTGTGAATGCTTTCCCCAGCAAATTGTCATTATTCGGAGGGCTCGGGCTGGCTCCAGCTGGATGTGAGTGGGAGCACAGAGATAAAAGAGCCTGAACAGGAATTTGCCATACTGTGTCCCTGCTGAGCTCTCCAAATTATTTCTTCTACTACAACAGCAAAACCTCCAGCCACTAAATGCTTTTGTTATTTGCCTGCCACAAAAGCAGTGCATCTTATAGTTTCATTGACTTCTATTAAGAAGTTTCTCAAAAAAGCCCACCGCCCTCCAGTGCCTGAGCCCCAGTTGCCTGTGAATAGCTGGTGTGAAAATAAACACTATGATCTTTTATTCTTTAAAGTGACAATTTCGACAGACGTTGAAGGAGAAATATACACTAAAGGTGAAAGAGGAACCAAACCATAAGAGGAGAAGGGAGAGGAGCATGCACAGTGTAGGGTTGATGCAAAGTGTGCATTGCCTAAAGCTCTCCTTGGCCTCCCTGGGGAATGGATTTCTTCTCAGGAGACTTCGTTTTGTCATTCTTCCTATTACTTTTTTTTCATTTTCTTTTTTTGACATGAGGTTACTTCACAGTGCTTCTTGAATGCTTTTTTTAGCATAAGGATTTGTGTTAGAAGAAATAATACAGCTTTTAGAGTGTGGGTATTGCAAGAAGCTTATTTTCCTGCTTTTTCCAGGATTCATGAGCCACTTTCATGTTGAATATGCTACTTGAATGAAAATCTGACCAATATTATCCACAAAGCAACATGCAGAGTTTTTATATACACACAGTGGACTGTCCTGTGATAGTGGTGTGGTATTTTGGGTTAATTCTGAGGGCTTTGTTTATGGCAGCTACAGTAGGAGAAATCCACAGACCCAGCAGTGCTTGCAGTTCAAAGTCACTTTATATCTGAAGTCACGTTGTAAAAGTCACCAAACCACAAGTGATATGAATGACTGACCTTCATTTGCTTCCTCTTTATGTTTAAGAATCACAGAAACTGTGTCTGATTTTTTTCAATGCTAAGTGTTTTCTTTTAGCTTCTATGCAGATGTCACAGGATGTTTTGCAGACTCAGATTTCATTGTTTTGGCTTTATAGGTACTGCAGGCTGTTTCCTCTTTAGACTTTAACAGTGTTTGTAGAAGAGATCAAAAATTGGTAGAGGTCTCAGGGCAAATTTATTAACTAAGCTACTTTTAATTATTTATTTTCTTTACATTTGGAATGGTTGGATTTCAAGTTAAATGTTTATTTAACGAAGATGTTCAAGCTAACTGTTACCTAGCATGTCATCATAAAAGGTAGCCTTGGTTCCAAATTTCAAGAAAGTATTTCAGGAGTCATTTTGGAAGTAAAGCATACGTACCAAATTAATTCTGTAAAGCAAGTACTGCAGAGTGTAAAAATGGATTCACTGTAATGTTTACTTGTAAATATTTTGTGTTGTTCGACTTACTACATAATTATTAAAACTCAACCAAAATGAACTTTTCATTTTCTTCAATTAAAATAAGATTTCTTCATATGTGTCTTCAAATTCTAAAAGTATTTATCTATTTTTATTCCTTTTCACACTGTCATCTTAAAAATGAGAAGAATTCACCTAATTAAATTGAGTACTCACACACGTGTACATGTATGCGTGTCTAATTACGAAAAGATACACAAACTGTTCTGGATAGAAAGTGGAATAGCTGTCAGTAGCAATTAAAAATAATAATGTACATTCTTCCATGTACAAATGTATCCTAGATGGTGCCGCATGTGCTCAGGCAGCAAGAACAACTAGCCCTATTATAGGGCATGCAGAAAAACTAAAGCGAAAACTTACAGATCTTGGGTAAGCACTTTGTTATTTAAGATACTTATTCTTTGAATTAAAATGATTGAAAGTAAAATTTCAAAGATGTTTCCTGATGTTTTCTAATATTGTTATAGGGCTCCCTTGAGAAGGAGTTCAAACAAGGGCAAGAAGCGGAAAGAGAAAGAAGCTATTAGGGTGACCTATGGCAGTAGGTATGGGTAAAAGATTGAGGATGCAAGAAATTATATGCCAGAAACATTGGAAAATCTAATCATCCTAGCAGATGGGAACATTAACAGTCCCACTGACTTCATGTAAATAAGTGTTAAGCTTTGAGGTAACCTTCTGAGCTTACAATCCTAAATTTCTTAACTAATGAAAAACTAACATATAATCTAAAAATACTTGGAAGCGTATAATATTGTGGTGTTACTACTGCTGTTGCATTCACTAATGGGATTTGCAGAAATATGTTATCAGAGCTGGCCTACAAGATGCACACTGGATCATGAGATCCAGAAATCTTGACACAATTCCACATATTTTTTTGAAAAAAGCCTCCAGAGCAAGGATAGGCAGCAGCTGTTCACAGCAGCTTCATAGCACCCATGTCAGGAA